CCCCGCGCCACGAAATCTGCACTTTCTCTCCAAAACCCGCGCCTGCCACGAAATCAACATTTTAGTGTGAACTCCCTGCCGCAAAAAAAACCTGCTAACCAACCAACCAACCAACAGCCACCTGCCAGCGGCGCCAGCAGCAACCAACCATCTGACCACAATGTAGCATCCCTTTTGTGGGCCATCCGAGGGTAAAATTTAGAATAGGAAGAAGCCTATTGCAACGTGGCATGCCTTTTGTGGGCCACAGATACAGTTTAGAGTAGGAAAAAGCCATTGCAACGTAGCATTCCTTTTGTGGGTAAAATTTAGAAAAGGAAGAAGCCATTGCAACGCAGCGTGCCTTTTGTGGGCCACCCGAGGGTAAAATTTAGAGCAGGAAGGAGCCATTACAACGAAGCATTTCTTTTTGTGAGCCACCCGATGGTAAATTTTAGAGTAGGAAGGAGCCATTACAACGATTTACATCGTAGCATTCCTTTGATGGGCCATTCGAAAGTAAAATTTAGAAAAGGAAGAAGCCATTGCAACGTAGCATGCCTTTTGTGGGCCACCCGAGGGTAAAATTTACAGCCGGAAGGAGCCATTATATTACACTGTAGCATTCCTGTTATGGGCCATTTGAAGGTGAAATTTAGAATAGGAAGGAGCCATTACAACGCAGCATTAGTTCGAATTCGACTTCAAATCGACGATAATTTTTTCACTCCGGGGGAGGAACTAGTTCGAGTTTGAGTTCGAATTCCAATCGACGACAATTTTGACGCCCGGAGGCGGGGAAACGCAGTTCGAGTTCGAGATCAAATTTCGAATCGACGACAATTTTGACACCGGGGGGGGACCAGTTCCAGTTCGAGTTCGAATTCGAATTCGAATCGACGACAGCGATTTTGGAGTTCGACTCTTTCTATTCGTCCACTGGGTTGACTTCTAACAGTTCCAGTTCGAGTTCGAGATCGAGTTCGAGATCGAGTTCGGTTCCTTCCATATATATCCTTTCAAGGTTAAGTTCATCAATACTGTATAACTGTTTCAGTTCGAGTTCGAGTTCGAGTTCGAGTTCGAGCGGGGCACACTATGGGGAGGATTGAACGCTCATGCAGTGTGACGCTTTCCGCTGCGCCCTGACGAGCTCCTCCCTTAGTCAGTCCGAGGGAAAGGACTTTGGCCCTGGGATGAAAATATCTTTGGCCCGCAGGCTCAGTAATTCACCAGTACGAAGAAGTCCATAGAAGGCAATTCGTAAAGACAAGCCAAAGGCAGGGCAGTCATTGAAAATCGACCATCCGCATAAAGCATCCAGAATTTGAAGCGTCATGGGTGGTGCACGGTTGGGTATCTCCACCGTTGTCCAGGCTTTGAGCAACCGCCAACTTCCTGGCAATTTCTTCTTTAGTGATGGATCTCGATCCTGCAATGCTGCCAGCGTATTGTTTGCCACGGACCTGCCTTCTCCGGAGGCCCAGAGATGCTCGAGGTAGTCACTGACCAACGCATCCAAGCGAACCTGCTGTTTTGGGAGGACGAGGCCCTCCCCTGCCATCCAGTCGAAGAAGCGGTTGAGACATTCTGTATATCGTTGCCTTGTACGTGGCTGAACAGTCAGCCCTTTGAGAGAACCTAGTTTGCTTCGAACCTTTTTGCGCTCTTGTTGGCATTTACCATCACTTTCGTGGTCTTCTTACCCATTTCTTTCGAAGGGGTCGGCGCGATGGCCGATCAGCGGGGTTTTGGTGGGTATCCACGTAACCCCAAACCCCAACAAGACCTCCTGCCAACTGAAGCGCTCCGATTCGACACAATGTTCTCCTCAACCTTCTGCTCGATGACCTTCCTCGTGAGAAGGCGCGCAACGCAACCAATGAATCAACCAAGTGCAAGAAACGACACTCCTGCTCCTCAAGCTCCTTCAACCTCCAGACAATGGCTGTTTTAACCGCTCGCAATTCCAATGCGTTGATGTGCTCAACGTCTCCCGTCCAGCGCCACCCTGCAACATCCTTCCACCGCCAGAGTTTACTGGGGATGGACGCCCTCAAACGGTGATATCGCGCTGGGAGATCGGACCCCAGCTGCAGCAGGATGTCCTCTCCCTTCACAGAGACCTGTCCCATCAAGCGAGGAACCAAACCCTGCTGGCCACTGCCTGCCTTTGTGGTTTGCCTCACCGGGGGCCGCGTCAGAAGGCTAGACAAGAACTGTTCGCGACCTGGGGTCAAACGCTCAACCAAAGTGACCAAGTCCAGCTCCGGCAACAAACCCAGTGTCCTAAACAAGCAATACAGCAAATATGCGACCGCCGGGATGGACCAACTGTTCCCGAGAAGGTCAACCGACAGTCATTGTGAGCCGTGCTCCCCTCCATGCTCTTGACTAGGCACCTCCGAGTATAGTCGACTGGAAATCCCAGGATCACATCCCTTTCCTTGACGGACGGGACACGCAACACACCTTGCCGATTTGTGACGCAGTTCTCTGCCCGATACTGGTATGGTGGGAAGCGATGAAGATCAGCCTTCCACCGAGCTACTGCCTCACGAGGACAAAGAGCTAGTCCGGCAGGCCGGCGTCCTGAAACTGCTGAAGGCCGAGACGTGGTGAATGTAGGAAAAGGAGCGTCAGGGCGGACTCGCTGCCATCCACTTTCCAGAAAGTCTCGTTCATCCACGGACACCTCAAGCACTACCTTGCCTTTGATTGGAGCTTCAACGGCTCCCAACTACACGCGGTCGACGTGCCAAGGTAAGTCCACCAGCATCGATGCTCCAAGGCAATGCGTCATAGGCTGCTGACATACTCTGGCAATCGACAGCATCCATTGAAGCAACGTTCTCGATGAGTCTGTGTACAGGGCACCACTTGAAATGTTCCCGGAGTAGTGCCTCTACCCTGGGGACATGCTGGAACAAACAGGACCGCTCATCTCTCAACGCCCCCTTCCGGTCCGAGTTTAACCCGGACACACCCTGACAGGGTGGTCCGGCACCAGCAACACAAGACCGACATTCGCAAAGCGTAACCTCCAACCAAGGACAACTTCATTGGTCACGCCAGCAACGTCTCCCACACACACCACCTCAGGGAAGAACGACTCGACCACGCGATTGGCGGCTTCTGGGGATATCTCCACTGAGACATAGCCCCCAACAGGCACACGCAAAGCGTCCAATGCAACTTGCAGAGCGCCTATCCCGTCGAAAAGCGACACCACCAACACCTGGTCCATCTCGTCGGGCTCCATGACATCTCCACGACACTCCGCCTGGCACGCCGCAACACCGAAAGGACTAAGCTCTCTACTCACGCAAAGTCCACCCCCAGTGGTGGAGGCATCGCTGGCCGTCACAAGCTCAGAAGTGGACAGACGGAAATCCATGTAGGCCAAAGGTCTCAAGGCAACAAAGCGTAGCAACTCCACCATGACCTCCTGCGGCAGCGTCCTACGAGCTAAGGGGCCCCTGGCACCCAACTCTGTGACATGTTTCCAAACGGCATTCAACCCGGACAACAATGGCCTGCGGAACATTGCAATGTAGACGAAACCTCCTTCGACCACTTGCAACTCTCGCTGAGAAGCCTTGCCATCCATACAGAGCTCTAAAGCAAGCCGAACATACTTAGCCATCTTTTCCAACTTTGGAGTGGCTCGGCCAAGCTCGCCGTCCACCAAAGCCCCCTGGACCTCAGCCTGAACCTCCTGTGTGACTGCCTTCTTCGGGTGCCGGGGGAGTCCCAGCTGTTGATATGTTTCACGCACTGCCAAAGTCCAGGCTGACGGCGTCCCGGCTAGAGTCCCTGCAAGCGTCTTGTCCACCTTGTGTAACTCATCATAGTTGTCGAGATAGACCCTATACTGATGGGAAGACGAGCTCTGGCGGCGATCACGTCGGATCTCTTGGTGCTTCCCTGCCAGCTTCCTTTCGCCCCCTAGGGCCTGTTGGATAACCCGCCTGTGAACATGCTGCGCAATTGCCACAGAGTTAATGAACCCCATGGGCAAAACCCTGCTAACAAGGTGCCAGCCTTTGCCAGTGTAGCCTGCTGGGAGGCCGTTCTCAGGCACCTCCCTTCCAAACCCCATGAAACGGTGCCACTCTGGGGGCGTCCGGAACAAATAGAAAAAACACCGAATATCTTCTGAAGACGTCAAAAGCAGTTCACCATCACCCAAGACGGTCCCAGACATCCCTGTAACCGTGGGTAGAGTCGAAGTGTCCCCCACTAAGTTTCGGCACAAGCCATTGGTTGGCACGAGGTTCATTATTAGCCTGCAGACCTCAAATTCCTCACCTCCTGCGTCCACCGCTTTCTCGCCCTTCTCAACCGCAAATAGGCCATTTAGTACTGGTCGCCCTTTAACATGAAAAAGATCATCCCTTTTCATGAGGCTACAAACCCCCCGATCGACAAGTCCCAGGCGCACCTCTGCCCAGTGCTCTTGGCTGACCATCGTGGCCGGCGTCTTTCCGAGGTTCTGATCCTGGGGCGGCAAGAGGAATTTTTCGAACTCCGCGACATAAGACCTGGTGCCTCCATCACAGAAACTCAACAAATCCAGTGACCCCACACCCTCAGGGAAAGCAGCTGCAACCATCTTCCACTGAAATGATCTTGCCACACGAACCTCCTCACCGGAATAGTCAATGCCTTTTGTATTGAAAAATTGTCCAAACGTAAGTGGGGGAAGGACGACACGGGGCAAGCCACTGGTCATAAGAACTCCCTTCAACCGCTCCAGGATCCTCCGCTGGACCTTTGAGACCTTCTTTCCTCCTGATGAACCAACCCCATACAAGCTATTCAACCCTCTGATGAGCCCGTCTAACAATGGATCATCATCTTCATACCATCCTAGACCCCCTGGAAGTGGGAGAGGAAAGATCCCCTCCGTGGACTGCCCGCAACGCGTGGTCTGTGTCAACACCTCCAGGGATTGCGATAGTGCAGGACTCAAATCCTTCCACAAGCTTTCCTTTTTGGCGCAAGCGCTCTTCAAAGCCATCTGCCAAGTTTCATGGCCTTCATGCTCTGTCAAAAACCTCTCTTCACGGCACTGCTTCAAATCCAGTCGTGAAGGGGATCGCCATGCACTCTGGGAGAAGATCTTTTTCCCCCCTGTACCGCTATGAAGGGCTCCTCCAGCAAAAAGTTGGCGCTGTCCGCGGCGCAAGCCTGCAGATTGCTTACTCCTTCTCTCTGCCTGGGAGGGACCTCCATCCTCCCCTCCCCAGCCCGGCGGGTCCAGGGGACGTTTTTGCCCCCTAGACTCACCTCCAGGGTCATACGTGTCACTCTCTTCTTTCTTCTTTCCTCTCCTGCGCTTCTCTCTGGCATCTGTTCAGCATCTCCTCTATTGCCCTTTCAACCTCTTTCTCCTCTTTTTCTGTCCTCTCTACCACCTGTTGGCTCCTCTCTGACATCTCCTCACTTTTCCTCTCTCCTCTGCATCCCTCTGCCTTGTGGTCTGTCCCTTCTACCTCATGGCCCTCCTTTACTGCTCGTCTTTTTGTTTTCTTCCCCATTTTCCTTTCTCCTTTCCTTTGCCTTTCTCTCCCCCTTTCTGCTTGTATGAGGACTCTGAGGTAGGACAGGCTTTCCTCGACCTTGCGATTCTCCTTCTCCACGGGAGCTCAGGCCGTGCGGCCTATTGCCAATTGAACGATTGCGGAACTCGTCGCGCGCCGTCCTAGCTGCTTCCACTTGTTCAGCGGGTTCCGAGATCCTGATGGGCTCTGTATTGACAAGCTCCAGCTGCCTCGAAACTGAATAATGACCACCTCGAAGAGTGCTTTCGAGCGACTTCGCACGTTGGACTAGAGTGTCCATCGCAGTGGCCACCTTCCCCCTGAGCAGCAGGTCGGTGACATGGGACACCGTTAGTAACTCCTGTAGCATCACCGGACTTGCGAGAGGTTGCAAGTATTGGTGCGTGTACATGGAGAACAACGGACTAAGGTGTTCTCTTGAAACGCTGTGGAGCTCCCCTCTTGAGGATAGCAGGTGTTCCCGAACGTTGTCGAGGGCCTGTGCCGTCAGTGCCCCCGGGCACTTCTCACTCAATCGTCGAAGGCGCCGTGTCTCTTCGAAAAGCGGTCCTTCCGACCCTTCATTGCCTTCTGACGTCGTCGATGACGAAGAGCCCGTGCCACTGGAGTCTGACCGCTTCCGCTTCTTGTCCTTTTTCTTGCCGACCCTACGCACCTTCTTCATCAAGCGTTTCCGCCTGGGTACGTTGGGGTCCAAGCATGTGTGGCTGAACAATGCTCTGGCGGTCTTTTGCCCACGCTCCAGCTCCTCCGTCTCTTCCTTTTTCTCTAACATCTCATCATAGGCCTTCTCTGCTGCCCTCTCCTTCTTCTTCCTCTTCCTCTTGTCTTTCTTCTTTGCTTCACCTGCTGGCGTCTCACCCTTGTCCTCTTTCTCCTCGGGCCTGGGAGGTCTCTCGCCTCCCCTCCCCTTACCTCGCTCCATTGCCAGCTCTCGTAGTCCAGCTAACTCATCCACTTCCGCCTCACCTCCGGCCTTGATCGGCACCAGATTGGAGCGCCATGGCTTCGGCGCAACACTGCAATCCCAATAGCCTCGGCTGTGCATGTAGGTGTCACCGGTCGTCAACTGTGGACATCCCGGCTGGCAGATGTGGACTTGGATCAATCGAGAACCGCCTCCTCCAAAGCGCTCCAAGACGCGGTCCGACATTGTCCCCGTCAGCTCAACACAAAACCTCTTCCTCAGCAGGCATCAGCTTACGAATACGTCCACAAACCTTGGCGTGCCCGCCGTAGTATGAGGTCTCTCCCAACTCCACAATGTCCAAACTCCTCAACCTCTCCATTGTCAAAGATGCCAACGTGTTATACTCCTCAGTCGGTGGTTTCTCCTCTTCATGTCCTTCCTCAGCCTCTGCACGAGCAGGCCTTCTCAATGGCCTCACCCTGGCAGCCGCTGCCGCCGGTCTCCTCAGTTTGGGAGCCATTGCTCCCTTTTACCAGCGATCTCTGTACTGCTTTCTTTCGTAGAGCTCTTGTTTTGCTCTCTTCGTCACCCCCTTGTTGGTACTTTGCGTCCAACGAGGATGGTGTGAATAGGGTATAGCTCCTCTCCAACCCTTTCCTTGTCCACTGCCTCGTCCTCCTCCTGGATGAGATGAAGTGGCCCTTGGGGGTGGATGATCCGGTGTTCGTGGCGACCTTGGTTCACGCTGACTCGGCCTGGGGCGTAGGTATCCTTCTCTCTGGATCCCACTGCTGGGTCTGGCCTTAGCCTCGTCCTCTCGTCGCTCTCCTCTCTGGGAGTCGAAGTCCTCCCTTTTCTTCTTCCTCACGTCTGAACCACTGACTGATCTTGAGGCGCTTTCTTTCTTTCTTTTCTTGCGCTTGTCTTTCTCCTTTTGATAGTTGGGAGTCTTGGATCTCTCCCTTTTGTTTTTGTCCTCGTCTCTCCTCCTGGGCAATGCCTTTTTCTCTTCGCTATGCTGAACCTCCTTTACCTTTTCTTCTCTCTCCTCAACCTCTTCTGGCTTTGTAGCCTCCTCTGTCTGCACCTTCTCTCTGGCCTCCTTTCTCGGGCTCCGGGCCTCCTTCCTCCTCTCGCCTGAGTGCCCCTTGGGAGAAGCTTCTCCCTTGGTAGTGCCGCCTCTGCTGCTTTCTCCTCGACCGCGATCCTCCTCAGCCTTGTTCGCCCTCTCTGTCTTCTTTGGGCTGGGAGTCTCAACTCCCTTTTTCGGGCTCTAGTCCAGTACCTTGGTAACTTTCGCTTCTGCCTCGTACGTAGGAGGAATACGAGGGTTTGCGATCGAGGCCAGGAGTCGCTCCGATGAGGTGCAGACCGGACAACTATTAGCGAGGAGTGGCCACTTGGCACACTTCCCGCAAATGGGCATAACCTTGCGAGCCCAAAGCTACGTGGGAGATACACCTGATTCGTGTTTAGTTATGTGGACATTCAACCATTCTGCTTTTTTGAATGGGTTTGTATTGCAGCAAGTCGCAGCAAGCCCTCCCAAGGCTAAGGCTGGGACAAGTCCACTACTCCATAGATCTCCTCATCTTTCCCTGCAACAGGATCATCGTGATTCAGCATGGCTTTTATTTGCATTCACATATCATATCAGCTACATATCAGCTCCTTCATTGAGCAAAATCATGTTGAATTGAACGACACTGGTCTGTGACATCATATCTGAGTAGTGATAAAATCTTAAAGTTCATACTTTTATGGCTGTTCCTAGGCTCTTTCCCGGACAACTGGAGGGATTTGCATATGATCAAACGTTTTGACCTGGTCCATTCTCCTCCAGCACTGGCAAGCACGCGCACTCCTGACGGTCATGGCACGTGCTCCAAGGCATCTTGCCCAAGCATGGTACGCTTTGCCATCTGGAATCGCTTTATCGATCACAGCATGGGAACAACAAGGGTACGCCTTTTCAATGATTAAGTCGCCTTCTTGTCTTGATAAATGACAATCTCGTTCCGACGCCAGGAAATCTCAAGGATCGCACCAGCCTTTGATGTGAGCTTGGAGAAAGCATGCAAGCATGACAATGGAACTGTTTCCAGTACTGTTCTGCCTCTAGGCCCTATCTCGTTTGGACTATGACTACTTAAGTAGGAGGTCATGTCACAGTATCTCGTTCCGACTACTTTAGTAGTAAATCATTAATCACAGTATCTCGCTCAGACTACTTTAGTGTCATCTAAATATACTTTGTGTTTTATGCGGGGGCCCTATCTTGATCACCAGCGAATACTGATGCTGGACAAACAAATAGAGCATGCCGTAGACTATATACTTTAGTACTTTAGCAAAGAATGAACAAACGTGTTTGTTAGGTCATAGGCATCTTTGGCGGCTGATCCGGTGGCTTTCTTGGAACCTTTGTAGTCTCCAACCAGTGATGTCGATAATTTCTGAGATTTGCTGAGTATTCTGTCCCTTTTGGCTGGATTGACCTACTGTAGGTCATTTGCATTCTGAAATTCTCTGCCTCCAAGTCTGTTGCTGGCCGCCATGCACCTGAGGGCAACTTCTGCACACTGTTCGGGCTGCAAAAGAGCGCGCCACCTGCATTCCACATCTCAAACAACGAGGCTGCTGATGCAGCACACAGTGTAAAGCGCGGTGTCAGGCTTCTGGACTTTCAAGACTTTCAATCCAATGCACTTGTGGCATTCAAAAGCACAATCTGGCAGTGTGCAAAGTGCTCTCTGCACCTTTGTCATAGCCCACAAGCCAAGCACGGCTCAAATCAGTGGCTTCCTGGATCAAGTTGAGCTTGATACTCAAGGAAGGATGGCTGTGCCAAATGGGTGTTGCCCTATCTCTGGACCTGCCAAACGGGTTTCCAACCTATACATGCTGAACTTTGGAATCTTCCAGGGTCCATACCTTCAAATGTATCGGTAAAAACGCGGCTGTTTGGACTCCTGTGTCTCCCGCTGTGTCAGCCAAATTGCCAACAACTGGCAATCTGTTGGTATACAGTCATCGACAGAATTATAGAACGGAATGGAGGAGGGAAATTCTCCTGATTTAACTGCACAGGATTTTTTCTATAATTACCGATTCCTGCATGTCATGGATTAACTACATTAAAAGCTCTTTATTCAAAAGAAAGTCTCCCAAAAAGTAATTATAGAACAGAGCAAATTTGTCCGCTCCAAGTGATGCAAAACGATCCTCCAAGGGCAAATTCGCTAACTGCACCAGACACTCCTCAATTCTGTTCTATAATTCTGTCGACGACCATATATATAATATATATTTGACTAGAATTGGCAACGTAACTAATTAGTTGACAAGGGTGGAAGCAAATGTACAATAGGATTCTGACTAGCTCTTTTGATTCACATTTTCCGAAAGCTGTGCAGATGCAATGCATTCTTGGATCTAGTGGATCTATGCTAAATGGCTCAGACCTGCGGTGGCTTTGGTGGTCTGACCAAGCTGAATCTGGGGTATGCCATATTGTTAATCCAATTGATTCAAGATGTCTTGTGGTACACCGCTGATGTGTGGTGATTGGAGGCGCTTCGTGCTGATGTGTGATGCTCCGTCCTGGGATCTGCGGTAATCTGTGGCGATGTGTACTGATCTGAGGTTCAGTGAGGTCAGTGTGTACTGATCTGAGCTGTTTCGTGGCGATCTCTGGTGTATCGATGGATAGTGGTGGTCGTGGTCATGCGTAGCAATCCGCGATGATCAGGGGAGATTTCCATACCTTGCCAATGAAGGGGAACGGAATGCGCTTTTAAAGTCCAGTTTGCAGTGCCTGCATTTTGTTCAATAAAACGTTTTCACTTGTCTTCAATTGTGAGGCCATTGAGGTTCCAAACAACACTTCTGAGCTCCTTCTGAGCTCCTTTGCGTGACATGCTCTACCAGTGCAAAACTTATCTTGAGCATTTTTCCAATCAGTTTCTTTGGGTCTGTGTTCGACACGGCCTTGGGAACCTTGTCCAACTTTTTTTTTCCGCAAAATAGCTTTGCGCCGGCCTTGGGAACCTCGCGCGCTTCTTGTGCGAACACAGCAAAACTAAATTTTCTGTTGGAATGAGTTTTCGTGCGTATATATATATATGCATACATACATACAGTATGTGTGCTTTCAGGTGGCAATGACAGTGTAAACACATTAAACTTGAAACATCTTGAAACACTTTGTGAACATAAGCGCGCAACAGCACGGGAGCCAACCTCCTCAAAGGACTGGAATTGCTTGGCACGGTCAGATCCCTCTCCATTAGAGGAATCTATCTCAGGTCACACCTCTCAGCGCCATTGCCGAGACGTGATGGGCAATATTCTATGTAAGTTTGCGCTTGCGAGGATCTTTTGCGAACCTTGCGCGGAAGAGCTTCTTTGGACAAGGGGCTTTGGGTCTGATTTGTGCAAACCATTCTACAATGTTGTCGCTTATCACACTGCATGCAGCATGCTTGCGCAAAAGCATGGAGAGAAGAAAGAATTCTTGAATTAATTTCAGTTCCACTCCACAGAACACGAGCCAGTAGCCACACATTTCTGATAAATTGGTTTAAGATGGTTTAAGTGTGAATAACTCGTGTGCATCCTTGCGCAAAACCCTGTGCCGGCCTTGCGCGATGCAGGTTTTAACCTCCTACATCAATAAAACACATGGTGCTAAGAAATTATGTTATGTGTTTTGTGGACGACTCCCGCGTATGTCACTTTTTGTTCTCTCATCCACAACTTCAATGAAAGCCGGAGCTGCCTATATAAATATCAACTATTTGGTAAAACATGCAATGTAATGTACTGTAAAGATCTGTAAAGTACATTCAAGAACCTTTGCAATGCAGAAATTCTGGAAAACACTGTTCCAACATGACGTTGAAAAGGCGGTCTCCTTGGGTCGCGTGTGGCCAGATGGCATCACATCCAGGCTGTTCAACACAGCGAAGCCGACAGCTAGTGCCTTTGTTTGAAGCTGCATAAGCCATCAATGACAATGACATCCGAGCCACCCAAAGAAAAACACATGTTTCAAGCATTCAGGAACGCAGTCCCTTCAGTGGCTTGGACTCCCCTACCGCAAACATGCTGAAAAACGTGGCCAAGCGTATCTATCAAGCTGAGCAACCCGAATGCCACCCTTATTGCTCATCTCGTCGATCCGAAGCCGAAATGTGCACTGCATGTTTCGCTGTCGGAGTGGCCGTGCGGTGATGCAAACGCCGTTGCTCACCTCAGATTTGAAGCGAACTAGCAGCATTGCGAGCTGAATGAACTGGGCTTGTGAACTCCCCCATGGGAGCCTGCGCTGGGAAAATTGACCGATGATAAAGGGCATCGAACATTTCGACCTGGCATCTAAGTACTCAACGTCTAAGTCCTGCAGAAAATGGTGAACTTGGACTGTGTCAAGATCTATACGTTGGATGTCGCATTCACAAGCGTTGTACCGTCTGAACCCGGCACAGCATCCCTTTTACATCAGACCAAGGGCACCCAAACTGCCCGTAAACCACTTACCAAAACTTGAGGCCTGCAACTCTTGAACCAGCAGTTTTCTGTCTTCACACTAGAGCCGCTAAACTCTTGTTTCAAAAAAGTGGTGTTTACTTTTCTGGCATTGCCTGTGGACTTTGCGCCAAGAACTCTGGGCTCTAGGCAGGTGTTTTGTTAAACTTGACCAAACTAGCCAATGTTAGAGCACATGTAGCGAGCAACCCGGGTTCTGAACAATTCCTCGATAGTGTTTTGTCACTTGTTTTGTCTGTTCTTTGAACAAACAACCTATGGACCCATACACCGCAGTTGAAGGGCTGAGTGGCACCGGTGGTGCGTCGCACTGTAGCGCTCCCGTTCGAAGCACTTAAGGAGCAACCGATCGCTCCAAAGAGCAATCGCTCCATCACAGTGAAAGCCTCCTGCGGTGATCTGAAGCACACCACAAACAGTTCTATTTGTGTCAGGCTGGCCCGAAGGATCCCAATGATTCCCAACAGCGGAATGCAGTTGGGTTTCAATCTTCGAGTTTGCCTACGGCACTCCAAAACCAAAATTCCATCCTGAGGTCCTGGAGCCCTGGAGCCCTGGGTGCTGTCTGGAACCTTGGGTGCTGTCTGGGCTGGGAGTGGCGCGTAGTTTGTCTACAGGGCTTGAAAACCGGACTTCCGAATGCAGTTGGATGAGTCTCTGGGGCCGGGGAAGGTTACACAGGGAATCTGGAACCCCTCCCTCGAACCCTGGCCGCGTTTTTTTTGGGATATTTTTTCTGGTCCTGTTGTGGGCGCCTTCCCTCAGGCTCGTGTCTCCAAAATGATAGTTGTTTCTCCGCGCGAGACCCCAGAAGTGACATAGGACTCCTCCAAAACGAGCGTTTCGTCCAAGACTTCCGTCACAAGCAACAGGGGACGTCTCCAGGTATCCTTTCGTGCCAGACATCGGCTTTTCTGTTCCTGTTGCGCACGCCTTCTTTCAGGCCCGTGTCCCCAAAATGGACCGTTCAGACTTGGACAAATTGTGTGTTTCTGTGGACGCCTTCATTGAAAGGCCTGTGCCTCCAAAGTAATTTCACCTAAAGCCTGAAAACGAGCGTTCGTGTGAGCGAGCGTTCGTGTGAGATTTCCACCATACGATCAAGCGTGCCTTTTTTTCGTGTTGCCTGGTCCGTATCACTTTGGATAGGTGGTTCGAAGCGCAGCTATCCTCTGGGCAGCGGTCATGCCCTGGCTGCAAGATGGTTGGAAAGATGGTGAAAAGAAGAACTTGGCAAGACTTAATTTTAATAACCTGAAACAAAGAGGCCTTCCACAACGAAGTGCTAGGAGCAGCGTCAGCACCCTTGGACCAGTATACCACAAGAAGAAGAGCGCGCTCACTCAGCATAGTCAGGCATATGATGGTGTGGAGCAGAAGCTGCAGGAGGATGAGCCTTGGACGACACAATCCGTTGAAGCGTGGACGACGTCCGTGACGCATGAGAATTAAGGCTAAAACTCCTGATCCCGGCGAAGAAGAGGTCGTAGCCTTAGTAGCCTTAGATTGCAAAGACACACAAATTAGAAAATAAGGCAACAGCAGGGGCTGGAGCAGAAGCTGCAGGAGGATGAGCCTTAGTGAAATTACTTAGTAGACTACGTCGGTCATGCGTGAGCAATATAAGGCTGGAACTCCGCATCCCGGCGGAGAAGAGGCCGTGGCCTGAGACACACAAAGCAGTCCATTCTGGAGATTGCAAGACTGTTCACGACTGATATAACACCAACACTTCAGAGCAAACGTGTGAGTAAATGAAACATACGCATGAGACATCGTCGATTACGTCGGCCATGCGTGAGCGTGCTAAGGCTGGAACTCCGGATCCCGGCGAAGAAAAGGTCGTGGCCTTAGACACGCGCAGCAACCAATTCTTGAGCAGGCAAGACTGTAAGAAAATACCCCGACGTAACCTCATACCATCCAGCGGGCTCGAGGGTCCAAGAAAAACCGTTCATCTGCGTTCGGAAGAAATTTCTGTCAGAAAGAGAGTAAAGAGGCCAAGCCGGTCATGTGTTGAAAGACTATGTAGGTATACCAACTCCTGTCAGCGCGTAACTGCACAAATCACAGAGAAAAATTGGGATGAAGCCCTCTGAGGCCAACACAGTTGCAGCATGCACCGAGGCCTGGGAGATCGGTTTGAACACGCAAGGAAATTTTGATGTGGCAGGACGAGGGGCCGGAAGTCTCTCGGCCGACGCAGCATCTGCAGCCTGCGTCATCACACTGTCACACGTAACCAACACCGCAATCCTGCGCCAGCCTGCTGCAAGGCCATTTTCAATGCGTGAGCTTGTGGCAAGGTGAGGTTGAAGAAAGTTTGGAAGTCCGTGTAGGACATGAGGCGCAACATGTCCACTGTCGCTTCTTGCCGCACGAAACGCGACCGAAGACTGCCAAGTCCGGCAGACTGGAGTACAGTCATGAGATGGTCAGGCGCAGGGCACTCCGAGACATCTGGCACAAGGGGCGTGGCTGGTGACGTTGCCATTGAATGCGAAGCCAGCAAGGGGCCAGGTTGCAACAAAGAACCTGACAACTGAATGGGGCGTCCTGCTTTCTTTTTAGGTCGGCCAGCCCGCGATTGTGGCTTGGCTAGGGGCTCCAATCATAGAACTCCCTGCCTGAGGAGGGCACAATAGCTGTGCTCACATGGCCCTGACTTCCCGGCCGTTTCACAAAACCAACACAGCGACCGCATGTGGTCATTCTCTTACCGCCAATAATTGGCAACTTCAGGCCCAATGAGAACACAGCGCCAATCATCAAAGACTGCAGCTGCCACATCCCAGCTATGTATGCAGGCAGAAGCCAAATCATAAAGTCCAAGAGCAGCTAGGGCCTCACAGACAACATCGGTGGACTTGGCAGCGCAAAGGATTGCAAACTGCCGGGCCGCGTCTGGAGGCAGGCGCACTGGTTCTCGACTTTCAACATGCAATTTCTTGCCCTGTCCACCGACCCGAGAGCGCCATTGTGCTAGGAGCCCAGAGAACAGCTGCTGCAGTGACAATGTGCGGTTGCCTCTTTCTCAGGCAGCCATACGCTTAAAGAACGGGCAATTGCAAGCAATACGGTCATGCATTTAACAGCCAGGCCTTCCTGCAAGAAGGGACACAGACCAAATCCCATAGGTTGTGGTTGGCCCTATTAAACAAGGTCAGCGGAACTGAACGCCATGGGACACCAAATGGCCCGCACGTCATTCCTCCAACACAAACGACGCTATACCTGCCTTCCTTCCTTTCTTTTGACTTTAAACCCCAGCACGGCAACCGTAAAAGCAAGGAAAGCCAAAAGCCACAAGCGCCAAAAAACACTGGCCACTGCAGGTAGCACAGTTCTGCAAGCTGGCCACCTGCAGCAGCACCCAGTGCTCACGACACTGGCCACTGCAGGTAGCACAGTTCTGCAAGCTGGCCACCTGCAGCAGCACCCAGTGCTCACGACACTGGCCACTGCAAACAGCACAGCTCCGCAAGCTGGCCACTTGCAGCAGCACAGTCCTCACAACACTGGCCACTGCAGGCAGCACAGCTTTGCAAGCTGGCCACCTGCAGCAGCACAGTGCTCAC